ACTGCCCGTGGTGGGTGGTGAGACAACACCGGCACAGCACGCCCTCAGACGCAGTGTCCCCGCCCCCAGGTGACAGCAGGGCGCTCACTGTCTTTGGCCCAGAGATCGTAGAAGGGCTGCTCCACGGTGTCCTGGGGCTTGGGCTTGGCTTTGGCCACAGGAGGGTTTCGGAGTCTCGCCTGCGCCCTGCGCACGTCTCGGGGCAGCTCGCCCTGCTTTGCCAGCTTCTCCCATAACTGCTCCTTGCGCTTGAGCTTCTTGGCGTTGGGGGCCTGGTGGGCGAGGATGCTGGGGCGGGAGGAGCCGCAAGGTAAGGTGGGTGCAGCAGAGGCCTCCCCCTGCTGGGCTCCCCACCCTCCCCGGCAGCTCCTCCTCCGGCAGCTCCCCGCTCAGAAGGCAGGCTTCCTCCTAGCTCTGCCCACTCCTGCCCTGTCCAGCCCCAGGTCCGTGTCCAGCCCAGGACGTTCGCACACAACCATGGTCCCTGGGGCCCTTGCTCTGATGTCTCCCAGGCACCAAAAAATATTGATCTCCCATCTGGGGGAGGGTGGCCCCACCCACCACCCCGACATCAGCCCCTTCAGGGGAAGGACAGCCCTCCTCCCCTCCTCCCCACAGCCCCTGGGCCCGTCCAGGCCCCATCCCCACCTGCTTCAGCCACAGCACCCGGCTCCTGCCTCGCTCCCTCCGATCCATGCTCCCAACCCCGAGCCTGCCCCCATCTCTGCCCACTCAGTGAGCCTCACCCCCCCTCCCGCTCCCCAGCAACTCCTTCAGGGCCAGGGAGTGGGGCTGAGAAGGCAGGAGGCCCAGCCCCAGTGGGAAAGGAGGGTCCACAGTGGCAGGACACTCACTCTTTGGGGGCGGGGACCTTGGATGTGTTCTCTAGGATGAGGTCGACTCGGAGGGGTTTCTTTACAAGTAGTGACCTCTTCTGGTCTCTGGTCCTCTTTTTGTTCAGCTCTGGGGGTGGGAGAGAGGAGAGTGGTCAAGGCTTCAGGCCTCCCCAAGTCCCAAGTCCAGCTCCCCACCCACCCCATTTCAGTTCCATGGGGCCTGCACCTCAGCACAGACATGGGGGCCCCAGGCTGACTCCAGGCCCCCACCTGAGAAAGGAGGCCCCCAAGAGCAGGGCCCAAGGTGCCCAAGCTCTGCCCCCCCCCACCATACCCACTTCCTGGGCCAACTGGACACAGCCCTGTGCTGGGGACAGAGGAGTCAGACCCAAAGCCCTGCACACGGGAGGCTTCCCGGCACAGCAAGGAAATGGCCACAGAACCGGCAACGCTAACGAGGAGAGCAGGTGGCCAGGTGACACCGAGGCCCTGGAAGCTGGACTCAGGACCCAGTGTGACCAATCATCGGCACAGGAGGGTTTCCTGTCTTCTACTTCTAAAGCCTAATAGTAACCGCGGCTGGTGTGGCTCGGCAGGTGCCGTCCTGCAAACCAAAAGGTCACGAGTCTGATTCCCAGTCACGCCAGACACCTGGGTTGGTCCCCACTCGGGGTGTGTCCAAGAGGCAACCAATTGATGTTTCCCTCTCACATCGATCATTTCTCTCCCTCCCTATTCCTCTCTTCAGAATCAGGGAAAGGAAAAAAATTAATATGATGGAAATAAAACCTAACAATGAAAAGCAAGACCTCTAGGAGAAAACACACTGGGACGAAATCCACAGCCTCCCATTAACCGTGGGACCTCGTGGAAATGGCTTTGCTCCCCTGTGCTCCCACAGTTCGAATGTCAATGCCTGCCTCACGGGGCCGCACGGGCAGGAAGCACTGGGAGCCCCTGTGAAAGCACACAATCACTATCATCTTCCTACTTTTGTTACACTTTATTGTTGTTCAAGTACTCTACCTTCTTTTAACTTAAAGCAGAACCTATAAGCTGCCCCTCCCCTGTCCCCCAAGGAGACTTCCCGCTAGCCAAAGCGGTGTTCACTACCCCCTCCCGTTTACTTGGTGGGCCCTGAAGCTACCCCTTCTGTCCACAGCCCAGACGTACGTGCTTCGGTCAAAGTCACCCTCCTCACCGCCCTTTTTCACCTGCTTCCTTCCCGAGAGCAGGCCCTCACTTTGGTCAGGACAGGCCCCTTGACTGATCTCCAACACAAACATGTTGGGGGGGGGGGGCCTGCTGTTAAAGCAGCTTACCATTTGCCCATTAAAGCTATCAGCTTTCCCCCTAAGCAACCCTTGTAGCTCGTTCTCCAAGCCCCGTGGAAGCAGACGGCCTGTTCTTAGTCTGTTTCCAGTACTGGACATACAGCCCAACAACCCCTAACTCACTCCTCCATTTGTTCCAGCACTTCCCCAGCCTGCAGTCTGGCAAACTATGACTAGCAGGTTAAGACGAGTTTCTCACCCACTCATTAAAGTGGATCCTCTATTTCTTAGTAAAGCACGTGTTAACTGAAACTGGTCTGATTCGTTACAGCAGGTCCCTGACTTGCTTTTCAGCAAATGAACGAACCTCACTGTTTTATGTCTCATCTATTCATCAAGGCAGACCCCTGCCGGCTCTTTTGCACACTGAGATCTGGGATACCTCAAGAGGAAAACCAGACTTCTTTAAGTCAGTCTCTAGGCTGCTTTCTGTTCATTCCAGGTCCTCTTGTTCATTGTGAAGCCCCCTTTTGGAAGGTGTTTGCCATCCAAGCCACATCTTCAGCTCAGATACTCCAAGAGGCTGCGGTGGGCTAGACAATGACCAATCACTGCCTTGCAACACACAAAGCCCTTCCTTACCTCTCTCCTTGGAGCCGGTGTCCACGAAGAAGAGTTTGTCATCCGGGGCCTCTGCTACCAAGCCACTGGGAGATGGAAATACAGAACGTCAGCCACAGATGTTGGGGAGACAGCAAGACGCTGCGGAAGGAGTAGGTTTAACCTCGCAGACAGGGCCCAGCTCTCTGCTTACGCTCATTCAAGCATCCTCTGGTTGGCATGGGGCCCCTACAGGCTAAGATTTCTCCCGCCAGTTTACAGAACTTAAAATTTAAAACTCACTATGCTGGGGGACTGCGCGGGGCATACAAACGCTAGGAAATTACAAACGCTTGTTTACGTAATTTCTAATCTATCTGGTAACACTACCAAGCACCCCAGCCACTGACCCGGGATCCCCAGCCCTCGCTCTCGGCTTCCCCAGGGACACCCGGGACAGGTGATCCCAGCACCCCGGAAGCCCCCGCACGCTCGCCCTCACGCCGGACCACACGGAACGTGGCCCAGCTGCCAGAAGTCCCGCCCCACGCACCCACTCGTGCGTTCCTGCAGCCGCACGTCCTCTAGGAACTGATCAACTTCAAGCCCCAGCGGCTCCTGGGCGAGCCGCCGCCAGCCCCGCTTTCTATTTCTGGGGCCTCGCCGCCTCCGCCTTAACGCTGGGTCCACCGAAGTGGACCTCAGCCCCAGGAAGCCGGAATCGGCCTCGCTTTTCGAGCGAAGCTGACCGCTACTGCCAGTGCCTCCCGCCGCCATCATGTTAAAGGAAGAAGCCAGGCGCCAGCAGCAGATATCCGGTTTGGGGCTTCCGCGCACGCGCAGATGCCCCGTTCACGCCCTAGCGGTGGCCGCCATCTTGGTAAAGTAGCCAGAAGGCGGAGGCGCGAGGAGGCAGCCATCTTGAGAAAGGTTGCAGGGCTCCTCCCTCTTCTGCAGTCTCCTGTCCACCGTGCGTGTTAGGTTCTTATTACATCTCACCCGGCCGCTCGGGGATATTTCTAAATCTGAGCATTACTTTTTAATCTAGTTTTTGTGGAAAAGAAAAATCGGAGCCATCAATGGCCGATGCGGAACAAGATACGTCCCAATCTCAGAAAGTTTAGCCGGGTTTTATATACCATTCCTAGAAGCCTGGAAAGAGCATTTGGAACGTTGAGGTTGGAAGCAGAGAAGTTTATATGGGAGAAATGTTAGAAACATACACTATTGGAACCCTAGAAGCACACACTCAAAGTCGTTCATCTTGGGCAAACGTCTTGCTCTGCCTCAGTTTCCTCCTCTGTAAAATGGGGATGCTAATAGTACCTCTGCCTCAGATTACTCCGAAGATTAAACAAGACAACATATATTTATACAAAGCGCTTAACACTGTGCCCGGCATCTAAATGTTAGCTCTTGCTACCGTCTCGCCCCCTGAACTTCATCCTAGAATCAACTGAATCTTAACTGTTTACAAATAAGGAAGGAAGCTCAGAGGCCCTCGAGCCCGGGCAACCATCCAAGGGACCCAGGGCCTCATAAAGGCTGCTCCAGACTCAAAAAGGAAAAAGGCACGAGAGGGAGGGAGCTAAGCGGGGGTCACACAGCCCAGGTCGGCGGAATCCTGGCGCAGAGCGTCAGGAAGGTTGGCAGGTCCTGGCTCGCGGCTCGGAGCGCCCGTGGTGGGCGCTGGATTCCGCCACCCGAGCGCCCGCCAGAGGGCGCTGGCAGCCGCGAAAGCGGGCGCGCGTGGGCGGGCGAGGCGCCGGGCCAGGGCGTCCCGGGGCGCCGTGGGTGTGGTCCTGGGTGTGCGTCGGCCGCACCGCGAACTCTCTGGGCGGGAGCGCGCGCGCGCACGTGGTGGTCCTGCGGGCGGCACCCCCTCCTCCCCGCCTGGAGCCCGTGGGCCCGGGAGTGACGTGTCAGGAGTTGTGGACGCCGGTCGATGGGTGGGCGCTGGCGGACAGGGCGGGGGTAGGTTGTGCCCAACCCCGCGCCCCAGGGCTCGGTTCCCAGGCCCCACGGCAGGCGGTAGGAGGGAGGGTTGTCCCGGAGGGAGGGCCCCAGTGTAACTTTTCTTCGGAAAATATGCTGTTCTGGCCCCCAGCCCAGGCTGAGTCAATAGGCTCCGCAGCACTGAGTCACGGCCTCCACCCCAGCCCCTGAAAGCTTGGAGGGGAGCCCCCACCCTCAAGCCCTACCCCGGGCTTTGGGCTCTCCTTCCCTGGGGGTCAGGAGCAGAGCGACCCCACACACACACAGGCCGACCCAAGACAGCCTGACTCCCACGTGGAGAGAAGCCTTGGCTTTATTCGCTCTGTGGGGTTACGTTCACAGGCCCCTCCCAGACCGGGGTGGGGGGGTGAGCGTGGGAATCCCATCCAGTGCCCTATTTTCCTCTTTCCCGTCTTTTCCATGGGGTTCCCACCAAGATCAGGCACTAATGTGGGGTGATGGCAGGAAAGGGGGTACAAGTTCCCTGTAGGAAAGAGGAGGAGGGGGCTGTAGCACCAAGAGCCTGTACCCCCACGACAGCCCTGAAGGGGGACTAAAATAAAGCTCCGGGGTCTTTTATACCTCCATACGGACTGATGGGCCGCGAGGCTGGGCCCCAGCAGTCTCAAAATTATGACCGCCAGCTGTGGGGGAGACAGGGGCCAGGCCGGGCTTTCAACCCCAGGCAGGAGGGCGGAGGACAGAAATACCTCCGAGTGGGCGCAGTCTGGTAGGAGCAAAAATTGGAGGGGCTTTTCCACCCCCTAAAGATCCTCCTTAAAGCAGGCTGTGACCAGAGCTGGAGGGAGGGGCGAAGAGGGGTCCATCTGAGGAAGTAGGAGGTTGTGTTTCCCTGCGGAACCCCCAGTGACCCCAAGGCCTGAGGATATGATGGGGCGGGAGGGGCCCTTGCCTGGGTGGGCAAGAGCAAGTAGACCAGGGAGCCTGTTAGTCATTTCAACCAAGTGGCTGCTCATTCACCGGGAGAGGTGAGGGGTCCTACCCGGAATCCAGGGTGGGACTGGTCAGGGCTGGGGTGTGTGTGTGTGTGTGTGTTTGAGTGACAGGTAGCCGCTGTCTCCCAAGAATGTCAGCTCCATGAGAAGCTGTGCCTGCTCTGTTCTCTGGAATCCTGTGCCTAGAACGAGGCCCCAGCACTGAATGTAGTAGGTGCTTAATAAATACCTGAATGATTGGTGAATGGATGGATGCCTGTGTGTGTGTATGTGTGTCTATGAGTGTCAGTGTGATGTGCCTAAATGGATGGGTGGGCAGAGGTGTGAAGAGTGAGCAGAGAAGTCTTGCCCCTCCCCTGATCCCCTCTGTCTGGCAGTGCGGGGTGGAGAGACCCCCGTCCTTACAGCGGGGAGGGAGGGCAGGCAGGGTGCACGTGGGCCAGGGATGTGCGTGCAGCTGACGGAAGCTGGGGAGCCACCGCGGGGCGAGCGGGCGCGAGGGCCAGCGGGCAGCGCCGGTCACTCCGCGGAGCCCTTGTGGCGCCGCTTGGAGGGTGGCACAAGGCGGCGGGGCAGGTTGGTGGGTAGCCCATGGCCCTCGAGCTTGGCCTCGATGAGATGGCTGGCCAGGGCGAACTCCTCGTCATCCAGCATGCCATCCCGGTCGACATCGCTGAGCTTCCAGATGCGCCCCAGCACCGAGTTGGGGAGCTTGGTGCCCACCATCCAGGTCTTGGCCTTGGTGCCGCTCAGCTTGCCGTCGGACGGCGCCAGGTTGTAGAAGATCTCGTCGTATTTGGACTTGTCCTTGGTCACCACCCACTCGGTCTCGTCATCGGAACCCTCCTCGCCGTCCTCCAGGGCCTCGTCGGGCCCACGCTCCACGAAGGGGCCCATGTGGGTGCCGTCGAAAGCGCCGCCCTGCACGCCCACCTCCGTGCTCTCCAGCTCCTCCTGCCGCAGCAGGGGCATCAGCTTGGCAATGTCGTGCGTCAGCATCTCGTCCAGGACTTCCAGCAACTTCGGCTTCAGCGAGTGGAACTTGGTGAAATCGTGAGCCATCAGCAGCTCCTGTGGGGCGGGGAGGAGGGCACCAAGAAGTCAGGGGGCGCCACCCCCAAGGCTCCCAGCTCCCAGGTGGCACCGGGTGACGCCAGGACACCTGAGCAGCTCAGGCGGCAGCTCTTTCCCAAGAGGAAAGTCGTGTTTGAATATCTGCTTGTCACCCACCGCTCAGAAGGGGCTTGGGCGACAGGGTCCCACCGGCCCCCCTCCCCGTGCCGGGTGTGCCCCAGAATCACTGGGCAGCAGAGAGCTTGGGGACCTCCGATGACTCAGAGCAGCAGCTGTTTGCCAGCTGGTCGAGGAGGATTTCAGTGTTTCAACATCAGCTCCAGCTTTACCAGGGCCCTGGAGAGTCAGCCCGGCCCAGCCAGGCCAGGCCAGCACCCCCAAGGCGCTGCAAGTTAAAAAAATTCAATCCCTGTCACTCCGTGAGCTCCATGACCCCACAACACGGGAGGGGGCTGGGGCTCTCGCCGCCAGATGTGGAGGTTAGCTTTGGGGTGGACAGGCTGTTAGGGGATCCTGGACCCTCCCCCCCACCCCTATTAGCAGTCTTGTTTCGCTACAGCAGCTGAGGGGTGGGATTTGCCATTACAGGGCTTCTCAGTCCTGCAGCTCTCCGTCACCTACACCCCCCCCCAGAGTGACAACAAAGGCTGACCCATGTTATGGCACCACATTAATTTCCAAAGCCAAGGCCAAGGCAGAGAGACCCACTGATCGCAACCATAAAGACATGCAGGTGTGAGCCCTGGCTGGTGTGGCTCAGTGGAGTAAGCTCCAGCCTGTGAACCAGAGGTCGCCGGTTTGATTCCCAGTCAGGGCACATGCCAGGGTTGTGAGCCAGGCCCCCCAGTTAGGGGCGTGGAAGAGGCAAATGATGGGTACATCTCTCGCACTTGGATGTTTCTCTCCCTCTCTTTCTCCCTCCCTTCCCCTCTCTAAAAATAAATAAATAAAATCTTTACAAAAGGAAAAGAGATGGGGGTGTGAACGGTGTGGGGATGAGGGCAGGACTCCAAGGCAAGGCTGCGGGGGTCCCACTGAGCTCTGCCACTTATGACCTGTGTGTCTTCGGGCAAGTGACTTCACCTCTCTGGGCCTCAGTTTCCACACTTGTAAAACAGGTTGACAACCAGCACTCCCCTCACTTGGGGGCTGGGAAAGCCTCGCAGATTTGTCTGGATAAAAATGCCAGTGTAACGGCTGCTATTTATCTAGTCCAGCGGTTCTCAACTGGGGGGTGATGGTGCCCCTTCCCTCCCAGGGGACAGTTGGCAAGGTCTAGAGACACATTTTATGGCCTCCAGACAGGCCAGGAATGCCCCTGCCCATCACGCGATGACAAATTCTCTGGCCTTAAATGTCACTGGTGCGAAGGGCGAAGAATCTTCATCCAGCGAAAACTTTGTGCCACGGTCCCGAGGGTTTGGCAAGCGTTAGCCGACTCAGTACTCGCAGCAATGGGTAGATACTGGCAGAATGCCCATCCAGTTGAAGAAACCGAGGCTCAGAAAACTAAGCGACTTAATGCAAGTTTGTGGCACTAGTAAGCGGCCAAGGTGAAAATCTGCTCTACCGTAATTCCTCTGTGTGGGCTTGGAGACCTCACAGGCTTTGCGGATCGGCGCTCAGGATAGGCTCAGTCTGGGCGAGGCCCCGCCTCCATGCCTGAACCTGGACTTCTGTGCCCACGCTGATTTGGTCCCTCCTGCCCTGCCCACTTCCGGTCACTCTTCACTTACCCCCATGCCACCGTGCCTAGGCCTAGGCCAGTGCTGGTCAGTCCTAGGCCTGTCCACGCGAGGAGCCTCCCACTCATCCCCCCAAATCCATCTGTCCCTTTCTCAATACAGAAATCCATGAACGTTACCTGGGTTCCAGGCCACCCAAGGGAAAGACTACATTTCCCAGCTTCCCTTGCAGTTGGCTGTGGCCACCTGACAAAGTGCTGGCCAATTGAATGTCAGCACAAGTTACAAGTGCAACTGGAGGAGAACTGCCCTGTTCAATCCAGGAGCCACATGTGGTTATTTCAATTGACATGAGTTGAAATGAAAGAAAACCTAAACTGCCCTTTCTAATGTGGCTAGTGGTTACCCTATTGACCAGCACAGCATAAAACACCTTCATCATCATAGAAAGTCCTATTGGAAAGCACTGTTGTATAAAGAGACAGACCGTCCCATCAGCTTCCCTTCTCCATCACCGGAACGCAGACACAAGGGCTGGAGTTTCCACAGCCATTTTGTACCATGAGGGGTTCTTGGGCCGGGAAGCCAGGCGTGGAAGGGAACTAAGAAAAGCTGGGTCCCTGGCTCTGGGAAGCACCAAACCAGCCCGAAATCATCTTCCAGGACATTTATGAAATAGAGACATATACTTCTATCTTAATTAAGCCACAGTTATTGGGGAGGGGTTTCCTTCCCTCCTTTATCCTAACTCATAAAACTCAAATGGATCCCACGGGACTATTTGCAGAAGGTGCTTTGCAGAACCTGCCACCCATCCCTGTTGTTTTCCAGGCCCAACCCAGAGCCCAGAGGAGCCCACCGCCCCCTCACCCCTCCGCCCCGTCCCAGGAGGCGCCCCCCACCTGCATCTTCTGGCAGTCCGGAAAGTCGCCAGGGGAGATGTGATGCTCCAGCTGAATCTTAGCGAAGATGACGGGCAGCTTGAGGATCAGCTGCTTCTTCTTGTTTTCCTTCCCAAACACGGAGGGCATCTCCTTCTTCAGGTAGCTGATGATGTACGTGTGAACCTGTGGGGAAAGAGCGCTCACCTGAGCCTGCCTCACAGTCCCCTGGTGGGCTCAGTAAAACACAGATTTCTGCCCTGCCTGGTGTTGCTCAGTGGATTGAGCACCGGCCTGGGAACCAAAGGGTCGCAGGTTCGATTCCCAGTCAGGGCACATGCTTGGGTTGCAGGCCAGTTCCCAGCAGGGGGCGCACAAGATGCAACCACACACCGATGTTTCTCTCCCTCTCTTCCCCTCTCTCTAAAAGTAAATAAATGAAATCTTTTTTTAAAAAAGTGTTCTTAGTTATAAATTCTAGTATGGCCAACACAGACAGATATAGCACAGGCAAATTCTGTGGGGTCACAGTAATTTTAAGACTGTAAGGAGGCCCTCAGACTCAACAGTCTGGGAAGGACTTCTCTACATGATTTGGCTCCTGCCGCCTCGTCCAGCAGTATCTCTCCCTAATCACTGCTCCAGCTTCCCCCCCCCCCCCCACCCTCCTGGGTTTACCAGATGCCAACTCCTTTCCCACCTCCGGGCCTTTGCACCTGCCGCTGTCTGCCCCGTCTCCCTGCAGCTGGCTCCCTCAGCCTCCTGGGTGGAGGCCGCCTCCTCACACAGGCCATCCAATGGCAAGCAGGCATCCCAGCCACCACCGTCCGATTGTTTTCTAGCTTCACTGCTGTTCTGTTCACAACACTTATCGCCATTCATCATTATTTTATTTATCTGTCGGTTTACGTATTCTGTCTCTTTCCATCAGAATGGGAGCTCCAGGAGGGCCGGGACCTTCCTTGTTCCCTCTGCCCTCAGTTCCAGCACAACGTGCCCGGAAAACACTCAAGAAATATTTGTGGAATAAACTAATGCACCAGGGAACCTCTGAGCTACAGTCTCCTACGTCCGTTATCAAAAAACAAACAAGGAGGGCAGAGTAATGAGTATACTATGTCCCCTGTTAAGTAGAAAGCTAAATAATTCAATGTAAACGGTTGCATAAAAACATTAGCCCTCAGGAAAAGCATGAGAAACGCCTTGCAGAGCTGGCTCTGGGGAAGAGGACCAGAGAGCTGGGGGTCAGGGGTGGGAAGGAACCTGTCTGACTTGGGCTGCATGACCTGAAGTGTTCAATTAAAAACACTTATTAAATGAATCATACCCCTAGAATGCTAAACATGTCGGTGACCCTGGCTGGTTCTGAATCTTCACCGACCCCCCCGGCCCACCTCCACCGCCAATCTGCTCCAGCCACCCCGGCTCCTGGTTCCAACGTGTTCTCTCCTCAGGGACTTTGCCTTTGCTGCCCCTTCTGCCTAGTTTGGTCTCCCCCACATCTCCACTCAGCTCCCCCTGTCCCCCCTTCGGGCCACTGCTCCAGTACCTCCTCGGGGAGACGCTCCCTGACGTCCCTAAAATAGCCTCTCACCAGTATCTCCTTCCTCTGCTTCATTTGTCTTCATAATCCTTGTCACGCACAATATAGTTCTATAGAGTATTTAATATCCACTTTCCCATTACAGTTGGCTCCCTGCTGTATCTCCAGGGTCTGGAACAGCCAGGGTCATGTGGCAGGCACTCCCTAACTGTTCAATGAATGTCCCTGGGCCGCTCAGAGAGGTTCAGCATGAAGGTTAAGGGCATTTGGCCTCTGGAGAGGTGGACCCTCCTGAGACCTTGACCTCAGCTATCCCAGCCCAGCAAAATCCCCTCCTGGCGGCTCTACTGCAGCTGAAGGGCAGGGCCAGAGGGCTCATCTACACTTGTCCTCGTGAAGGGAGGTGGCTACCAGGCGTCCAGAAAGGCCTTGTACCCCTGGGGAAAAGTGTGTTTGACGGTGGAACCAACAGAGGCAGAATCATACGCGGGGGGAGGGGGGCTGAGCAGGTGACATATGACAGCGGCTTGGTCACAGTGCACGCTGCGCCTCGAGCAGCACTGGGGAGCTATGGATGGATCTGCAGGAAAGACAACTGTAAGTAGGTGTCTGAAGGGCCAATCAGGGCAGGGGTGTGGCCGGGATGATGGGCAGAGCCTGTGAGAGCAAGCCAATCGGGTGAGGGGGCGGAGCCTAAGAGAGGCTACTGGGTGGGGGGACCTAGAAGAGGGGAGGCGGGAGGGAGCTGATGGCTTTTCCAGAGAGGAAACAGGGGAAGGTGCCAGGAAGAGATAAGGTGGGAGGGAGGGGTGGGCCCCGGGCTCGGGTCCCAGACTCGGACTCCGGGGTTTGTCTGGGTTTCCGGAGCCACCTCCTGTCGGGGGGGGGGGGCTCCAGGTGTCCCATCCGACCCTGCCCCTCGGCCCCGGGATCCTGGGCTCCAGCTGCTGCATTGTCTGCCTCTGTGAAGTGACCTGGAGCCTGGGGTCCTTGGGGCGGGGGGAAGAGCGAACCACGGGAGGGAAGAGACAGGGGGGTTGATAGGTGGATACACAGATGATAGATAGACAGACAGACAGGATGGGGGAGAGAGAGGAGAAAGAGGAAGTGACTAAGACAGAGCTGGAGGAGAGGACAGAGGAAAAGAGGGCCAGAGAATGAATGAGAGATTGAGAGAGACCAGGAGAGACAGAGTGGGGAGAGAAAGGGAGAAAGAATGAGGGAAGGAGGGAGGATGAAAAAAAAGTTAGGGGAGGAGAGAAAGAATCGGAGACCGAGGTGGAAATGTTAAGGGCTTGTACAGGGACAGACAGACAGAGGAGGAGAAGGAAAGAAAGGTGGATTCTGAAGGCACCGGCCGCTCCCTCACGGGGAGGATTCCTGGGGTGGGGGCAGGGGCTCTGACTCACCCCTCTCGCTGCTCCTTAAACCAACCACCTCTGGCTCCTCCACTCCCCATCACCCCCCATAACCTTCTGGGCCTCCCTGCTCGCCCAGCTTCCTGCCCCACCTCCATCCTGGCAGGCTCCCCCATGAATGTTCCATCTGGCCTCCAAAATCGCTCTGGAAACAGTGCTCTCTGCCACCTCCCAGAGGCCCTGTCCCCAGCCAGGCTCCACCTTGTTCCTCGGTGCCCAGCCTCCCCCTGGTCCGTGCCCTGGTCTCAACACCCGTGAATCCACCCTCCAGAAGGCAGCTGGAGTCTGACGCTGTCCCTCCCTTGCTCTGAACCCTGCCATGGCTCCCCAGTGCTCTTGGGACAAAGTGCACATTCCTGGCCACAGCCCTGGGTGCTCAACTCCCACCCACCGCCCCAGCTTCAGACTCAGTTACTGGTACGGCCTGCACTGGATCCACCTGACATTCTCCCTCTTCCTTGAACTTGCCCTGTTCTCAGCTGCAGTCTGTGTGCTTCCTGCTCCCACCGTCTCCAATCCCTTCTCCTCCTTGTCCTCCTCATGCTCCAGTTTGCAGCTCAGGTCCCTTTTCCTCCAAGCAGCCCTCTCTGATTGCCCCTGGGCTTCCCCAGTCGCAGCCCTGACCACGCTGGGCCTTCACTGTCTGGGGCACAGGGCCAGGCACAGAAGAGACTCAGTTCACTGTGAGTGCTTGTTCAGTGTCATTTGTTCAGTAAATATTTACTGAGCACCAACTCTGTTCCGGGGGCTTAGGATACATCGGGGAACAAATTCAAAGAAAGAAAGAGCCCTGCTTCTGTGGAGCTGAAATGCAAGTGGAGGACAGGCAGCAGTAAATGCTGAAACCTAGTGAATGGACATAACATAGGACCAGTTAGCAATGACTTCTATGAAGAAACCTGCAAATGGTGGTCCCGGCTGGTGTGGCTTAGTGGACTGGGCACCAGTCTGCAAGCCAAAAAGTTGCCAGTTCGATTCCCAGTCAGGGCACGTGCCTGGGTTGGGGACGTGCAAGAGGCAACAGATCAATGTATCTCTTGCATGTGATGTTTCTCTCCTTCTCTTTCTCCTTCCCTTCCCTCTCTCTAAATGAATATATAAATTTAAAAAATAATAAAGCAGGATTTATAGGGGGAGGGCGGAGTTATTTTCATGTAAATGGGGGCCAGGCAGGGACGACTTCCTGAGAGGTGACATTCAAGTAAAGACAAGAAGGAGGTGACAAATGAGCCAGGTGGGAGAGAGGTGGGGAGAAGGAGGTCTCCAGGGAGAGGAACCAGCCAGTGCAAAGGCCCTGAGGTAGGACTGAGGAGGCCAGTGTGAAATACAGTGAATGATAGGAAAGGGCTGGAAGGTGAGGACAGAGAGGTTGGGGGTGGGGATGGAGAGTGGAAGGGGCGGCTGTGGACCACAGGGAGGGCCTGGCTTTTGCTGAGGGACACAGGAGTTCTGGGTGGGCCATGGTACGATTCGGTCGTAGGTGACACATGAAGGAATAATAGAAGAGAGAAGAGACAGGGAGATATGAAAAGAGGCGGAGACCTGAACGCAACGGGAGAGGAACAAGTCTCCGCGCCATTGGGCTTCCCCCGGTCCCCCATGCACCGGTATGGCCCAGCCTCTTAGACTACTGACAACTAACCCATCAGAGTTGGGCGGTACGCCCGTGACCAGCAGCCCAGAAAAGCTAGGGATGCGCTCACTAGCGCCACCGGCCGGCGCCCCCAGGACCGCTCACCCGCACCAGCCGCGCCCTCTTCACCAGGTCGTTGAGCTTGCGCAGAGCGGCGTGGCGCGGCAGGCCCTGAATGTCGCGGAAGAGGTCCTGCTCCTCCAACTCGAAGAGGCGCCGGTTGTCGGGCACCAGGAGCGGCTGGGACCAGAAGGAGCCGATGTAGACGCGCAGCACCTCGGGCGTGCCTACCACCTTGCCCAGCGCCCACATGAGCGCCCCGTAGACGCGCATCAGCTGCTGCGTCTCCACCATGTCGGCCTTGTTGAGCACCACGCGGATCTTGTCCTCGTGGCCGCGCAGGGCTTCGATGGCCTCAGAGAACTCGTCCGAGATCTCCAGCTTGTGCGCGTCGAACAGCAGGATGATGAGGTCCACGCGCTCGGCGAACCAGCGCAGCACCGCGGGGAAGTCGTAGCCTGGGGGAGGGGACGGAGATCAGGCCCCACCCTCCAGCCGCGCGGAGGCACGCGCTCCTTTGGGTTGATGTCGGGCTGACCAGATGTCCAGGTTGTGAACTATCAAAACCCTTGTTTTTGTGATATAACCCAGGTCCCCAGAATATCCCACTGTTCTAGCTCCGCAGGTCCCCCAAATTCCCACTCACTCTGGTCCCAGTCCCTCAAGCCATCTAGCTACAGGGGGCGATCACCCCCATTCATTCATTCATTCATTCATTCATCCATGCATGCATGCATGCATTCAGCAGATGTTAGTAGTGTGCATTGGCCCTGATGTACAAGTTGTTAATACATAAAATGTTTCCTGACAACCGTGCCTTTGTGGAATCCCTCCCCCGCCCCCACAAGTACCTCCATCACCCTGGCCCCACCCAGACCTGCTGATCTCCCCACAATCCAGCAACTAGAGTTCACGTTGGCCCCCTGGCTATGCTCTTGCCATAGCAGATGTTAAATATTTTTTATATTTTTTAAAAGATTTTATTTGTTTAGTTTTAGAGAGAAGGGAGGAAGAAAAAAAGGGAGAGAGACATCAGTGTGTGGTTGCCTCTTGAGCGCCCCCCTACTGGGGACCTGGCCTGCAACCCAGGTATGTACCTTGACTGGGAATCAAACCCACCACCCTTTGGTTAGCAGGTCAGCACTCAATTCACTGAGCTAGACCAGCCAGTGCTAAATATTTTTAATTTATTTAACACTATTTACTGAGAGTCTTGGTGTGTGCCAGGTCCTGATACCACACAGGACACACAGACAAGGCCCTTACCTTCGAAGAGCGCCCATCCCAACAATGGGTTCATTCATTCCTTCCCTTCACCATTCACTTCTCCCCTCACTGACTCATTCACAACGGCCACTCCCCAGCTTTGTTCGGGAGCAGAAGACCTAGGTTTGAATCCCAGCTTTGCCCCATCAGCTGTGTGGCCTTAAGCAAGTAGGAAACCTGTCTGAGCTTCTCCTCTTCTGTAATATGGAAGTCATAGTAAAACAGACCTTGTAGGGCTGTTGTGAAGATTAAAAGAATAAAAATGAGCCCTAGCTGGTGTGGCTCAGTGGATTGAGCGCCGGCCTTCGAACCAAAGGGTCGCTGGTTCAATTCCCAGTCAGGGCACATGCCTGGGTTGCGAGCCAGGTCCCTGGTGGAGGGTTCACGAAGAGCAACCAACTTGATCGAAACAACCAAGAAACAACTGATGTTTCTCTCCCTCTCTTTCTCCCTCCCTTCCCCTCTCTCTAAAAGTAAATAAATAAAATCTTAATAAAAAAAAACCAATCAAACCTTTAAAAATAAAAGAATATGAATGAGCTGATAATGTATATAAAGAGCTTAAAACAGTACCTGGCCCTGAACTGCACACTTAAAATGGGTGAATCTTAGGCTTGTAAGTTAGAGCCCAATAAAACTGTTCAAGGAACAAAAACCAGTACTGAACTCATGGCCAGTGCTCCACAGCTATTAGTCATGGTGCATGTTACAGTGTGTGTGTGTGTGTGTGTGTGTGTGTGTGTGTGCAGGGGGTGGGTGTCATCAGGAACTGTCCCCAGAGCTGCCTGCTCTGTGCTGGGGCACAGCTTGCTCAGTTAGCCCTGTTCTGTCCCTCCTGGGCTCACAGACCTGTCCCTAGAGTGGCCAGGCTGGGATGGGGGAGCCCAGGGAGCTGCGGGAACCCAGACCGGGTGCCTGACCCAGCCTGGAGGATCAGGGGCGGCTTTGGGAGGAGGGCGGAGGGACCTCGGAGCAGAGGGGGCAGGAAGGAGGATGAGCAGCCCACTGGCCGAATTCGGAGCCAGAGCTGACTCACCTGACATCGCTTCACGTTTTTCCCCGATTCCTCACAAAACAACCCCAGGAAGACAGACATTTCTATGATGCCCGTTTTCCAGATGAGGACACTGAGGCACAGAGACATTAAGGGATTTCCTCAAGTCGCACAGGTAGGAGGCCACAGAGCAGGGGTCCCCCACGGGCCTCCCGGCTCAGCTGGGGAGCTGGTGCTGAGCCCAGCCTCCCAAGTAGGAAGCTCACTCCTGGTGGCTGCTGGGGACTGGATGGGACGGGTGGGGGACATTGTTTGGGGGGAGGAAGGGGCGGGTCACCAGAGGGACGGCAGCCGGGGGGCCCCCTCCCTCCCCAGCGTCTGCACAAACACACACAGCAGCCCGGATTTGGAAAGTATGTCTCATATAGGAGGGAAGGAGGAGGGAGGAAGACTGAGTCAGCGTGGGAACAGGAGACGTGGCAACGAGGAGCCGGGCGCATGCGCACTCGCACTGGGAAAAGTCACAGCCCTTCCACAGCACCTACTGTGTGCCACAGCCCGTTTTCAGTGCTCTGCACATTTTGACACTTAATTTTAACCCTCGTTGCAACCTATGGGGCTGATACCATTATTGGTCCCATTTTACAGACGAGGAAACTGAGGCGGGGAGAGGTTAAGGAGCTTGCCCAAGGTCCCGCCATTATTTACAAATAGCAGAGCCCAGGTTGGACCGCACCAAGGGGGCTCCATAATGCTACGTTGGCTCACAGGCACGCTTGCAGATAGGACACACAGCGGCAGCCACACACCCCGCCGGTGCTCACGCGGGCGCGTGCACACCCAGCACACACGTGTTCACACGCTGCAAGCTGCAGCCTCCCAGACACACTCTGGCACACACAGTCTAGGGCCTACACGGGTATTCGTGGTCACGCGATCGCAAAGACACGGTGAGACTCGCACAAAGGAGCAGCATGCACACCAGCCTGCACGCACACACTCACTTGCACACGCACGCACACAACTGTACACAGAGACACCATCACACGCATAGTCACACACAGTCCCTGGAGCGCCCTGCACGTTCTTCAGAGGCACACGACGTCACCGTCAGCCAGTCATAGGCGCGACTCTCAGACAGACAGACAGACAGGCAGGCAGGCATACAGGCAAGCAGGCAGGCTTTCCGCCACGGAGCAGGAGACCACGTTCTCTACTCCGCCCCCTCCCCCCTGCCTTTGGGCCCCCCACCCAGCACCCCTGCACTGGCTGGAGACCCCACTCAGTTCCACTCTCCCAGGAATCCCCACCCCCCCCGCTCTCCCGCCTCCCCCGCGGGGCTGGCAAGGCGCCCACCCAATCGCTTCTGCAGCTGCCCCTGCCTTTCTCCCCGGGGACGCGCGCCGCTGGGCCGCAGCCAGGGACACAGTAACCCTCCGCGCCCTCGCCCTGCCCCGCGGCCCACCCTCCCGGCCCCCTCTGGCCCGCTCTGCAGCCTCCTTTGCCCCAGTTCCCGGCCTCCGGAGCGCGGGGAGGGAAAGACGCACACGGGGCTAGGGGTGCGGGGCGCAGATGCGTAGCGGCGCTGGGCAGCGGTGGGGGCCCGGCCCTGCAGGCCCCGCTGGAATTCGCCTCCCGCCGCTCCCCCTGCACAGCTGTTTATAAATTCCAGGCTCGGCCTTGGCCCCCGCCCAGATTCCCCCTCCCTGCCCCTTCGCAGCCCCAGGCGTGGCCCAGACCCAGCCAGGGGCGCCCAGCGCCCAGGCCCTCCCCGCGGGGCGCTGCCCGCGGGGCCTCACGTCTCCCTGACTTGGTCTCTCTCTCCCTGTCTCTGTTTTCAACTTCTCCCTCTCGTCCTCCCGCCCGCCCGGACCTGCAGCTGCAGCCTGTTCACACTTGTTCACCCACCCGCTTCCCCCACCGGCGACGGGCGCCAACGGCAGGGAATCACTGCCTCCCTTCCACCAGTTCCCTTCCTTTCGCAGCCAGCTCCGGGCCGGCCGACACAGGGGCGAGTCCTGGCGGAGACCCGGGCCCTCCCCCCTCCGACCCGGGCGCCGCGCCTCACTCACCACGGCTCACTCTCTGCTTGGCCCCCGACAGGATGCCGGGCGTGTCGATGATACTGATGCTCTCCAGCACCTGATTGGGGAGGTGGGCGCACATGAACCTGGGGGAGAAGGAAAGGCAGGGGTCAGTCGGTGCAGGGAGAGACCGGGGGCCAGGACGCATCAGAGAGGGTCGTTCAGGTGCAGAGAAGAGAAGACTTAAAAGAGAAAAAGGAAAATCAGCCCAGAGAGAAATAACTGTTAAAAAGTTTGAGCGGTGCCCTGACTGGTGGGGCTCAGTTGGTTGGGCGTCATCCCGCAAAGCAGAGGGTCGCGGGTTGGATTCCCGGGCAGGCCACATGCCTGGGTTGCGGGTTTGGCCCGCCCCCCTCCCAATCCCGTCTGGGTGCGTTGGAGAGGCAGCCAATCAATGTTTCCCTATCACATCGACGTTTCTGTCCCTCTCTTTCTCCCTCCCTTCCCCTCTCTCTCAAAATAAATCAATAACATCTCTTCTTAAAAATGAGAGCTGATGTCCACTGAACGCTTCCTCTTTGTGCCCGGTGATGTTCTCAGCACTTTTGTGCATTGTAATTCCTTTAGTCCTCAGAGCCACCCTGTGGAATGGGGACTGTGGTTATGCCCGTTTTTCAGATGAGGATCGGGGAAGCACAGAGAGGTCAAGTCATCTGCCCGAAGCAACCCAGCCAGGCAGGGGTGCGACCCCAGCAGGCCGGCTGCCCTGGCTGAGCCGCTGCCGTAGGGAAGGCAGAGAGCAGCGCGGGTGGGGAGAGGGGACTTGGGCCCGAGAAGCAGAGAAGCCCAGGCAGGGAAGGGACGGAGACAGGGACGAGGGACAGGAAGAGGCCCCCTGACTTCCGCTGCCCGCCCACCTGTTGAGGAAGGTGTTTCCGAAGGGGTTGAGTTTTCGGAAGGGCTTCTCGGGGTCAACCACGAGGGCGTTGCCCGGCACGACGCCCTCGGTCTCCCCGTGCATGACGGCCACGAAGCAGTCGGTGGTGGGCTCGGGCCCCACTCGGGAGCCTGGCACCTCCTGCTCCAGCAGGTACTGGATGAAGCTGGTCTTGCCCGTGCTGTACTGGCCGGCCACCAGCACCATGGGCTTGCCGTCGAAGTCGGCGTCCTCCAGGGCGGGCGAGTGGAAGTCTCCGAAGCGGTAGTGCTCCTCCAAGGGCAGCAGCTTGGTGCGGTACAGCTCCTTCAGGGACGAGGTCACCGTGCGGATGGCCTCGGGCTGCTGGCCCCGCGCCCCGCTGCGCTTCATCCAGCTGAACATGGCGGCTGCGCGCTACCCACTGGGCTCGCCGGCTGCCGGAGATGCGCGGGGGGAGAGCTGCCTGTGGGAGAGGCAGAGGGTGTGCATGGGGGGCTGCCTGGAGGAGGAGGAGGAAGAGGAGAAGGAAGGGAGCTGCAAGGTGGACCGGGAAGAGGAGGAGGAGCAGACATCACCGATGATGGATGGCAGGAGGCGACCCGGGAAGGAGGAAGAGAGATGACCTGCGGGACCACTGAAGAAGGGGGAGTGGTGGTGGAAGACCAAAAAGCAAAGGAAAGGAGGCACACGCTGCTGAGAAACCATACATCCCTTCACTGTCTCATTCTTTTCTTCCTCCCCTTCCATCATTTCACACATTGTCGCTGAAATCACTCCGAGTGACACTCCAGGAGCTATGGACCCAGAAGCAGGCCACGGAGCAGCTCCCACCCACTCAGAGCCCCCCCCCCCCGGTGCCTGGGAAACGCCAGGCAGTGGACTCTCAGGCTCCAGAAGGGGCCACGACGAACTGGCCACAGGGTCGGCAAACTCTGGCTGGGCTGACTTTTGAGCTGATCCCTGCAGAGGCAGGTGTGACAAGGGCATTTAAGAAGAGAGGATGGTGTCTGGAAAGGCCTGGAGCTGGGACATGTACAGATGGGGGTGGCTGGGCGCAGGGGCACCAGGAAGAAGGGTAAGAAATAAACCTGAGAAACTGCCCAGGTGTGCCCAGGTGCACCCAGGTCACCAGGGCCCTTAGCCACTCGCAAGAATAACACATATGATCACTGAATGCCAGGCACGGGTCTATTTAATCTTCACAACAGCCTTGTAAGGGAGGGCTATTATGATCCTCACTTTTCTGACCAGGAAACGGAGGCTGAGAGAGACAGCAATACCTGGCCCGATGGGCTAGAAAGTGCTCAAGCTGGGACTCTAAGCAGCCTGGCCCCACGGCCTGCACTCCTAGGTCTAAGGAGTTACAGGAGAAAGAACTACCAGCGCAGCAGCAACGAGCACCCTCAGCGCCCAGGCTGTGTTCTCTAAGCCCTTCCCAGCCTTTCATTTTCTATAGGATCTGTAGTGATGTTCCCGCTTTCATTCCTGCTGCCAGGTATTTGTGTCTCTGCTTTTCTTTGGTTTTGTTTTTTTTTTCCTCATCAGTCTAAGTCCATGCTTGTAATCCTGCTGGTCTGTTCACCGGACCGGCTTTTGCTCATATCTCTAAATACCATTTTCCACTCGAAGAAACTGGGGCTCCTTAGAGAAGTAGCTGACCCTGGGGCTGCCCCACAGAAAGAAGTGAGCCCAGAGCAGAGAGAGGGAAGGGTGGGGGGACACGGGACCCCACCTGAAGGGGCCCCACTGGCCAAAGGTCAGACAATTTGAGCATCAGAAATAACTGCAAGTGAAGTATGTTAAAAACCCATAAAGTCATAATGATTTTCCAAAAAGTGGAGGGGGGTGAGTCTGGGGAGAAGGGGGAACGCAGAGGCAGGAGCTGGGAGCTGGGATGTCGGCAGAGGAGAGGGGCCTGGGTAGCGTCCTAAGGAGGGAGGGGTCTGGGGGTCGTGCTGGAAGGACGCTTGGGGCGTCCGGCGATGGGGCTGCTGAGGTGGGACAGGAACTCTGGGGTGGGAGGGCGGTGCAGAGACCCCTAGGAGGGGATCTGCCATAGCTGAGAGGCCTGGGGGGGGGGGCGAAGTTGAGAGCGACTGGCGGAGGCTGGTGGGGGGAGTGGAGGGGCCTGGGCAAGACTGGGAGGGACGCGGGGGGGGGGGACACTGTTACGGACTGGAAGCAGCTGAGGGAGGGGAAGAGCCAGGTTTCAGGAGGGACTGGGGGGGACCGTTACCCAGGGCGGGGCGGGGACTGAGGGTCTTGGGCCAGCAGGGCTGGCTCCAGGGCTCCGCGGTCGGGGGCCACTCACCGATGGGGCGCGCCGGCGGCTGGACAGGGCGGGCGGGCGGGGGTCCCGCGGGGATCAGAGGCGCCCGCGGAGAGGCCTGTGCTCGCGGTCCAGTCCAGAGCCGTCTGAGCCGGGTGGGGCCTGGAGCCAGGAGGAGGGCAGGGTGGGGCGGAGTGGGGGGGGGGGGGGGCGGGACGGCCCCCCCCCAGACCCAGCGCCCGGCCTCTGGCGCCCCCTGGTGGGAAGGCGCCTTCGTGAAGTGGGTGAGACTCTCTACCTCAACAAGGGAATGAAAAGAACAGTAAGCGCAGCAACGATCATGGGAATGAAAACTCCTCTGCCCACAACTCTCCCTGGCTCCCCTCTCACTCAGAGTAACAGCCAAACCGGGTGGCCCGCAGGGCCCTGCAGGACCCGCAGGTTCCTCGGCCACTCTGCCCCCACCTTCCTCCCTCCCAGTCACTGTGGCCTCCTGGCTGTTCCTCCCACACACCAACAAGCCTCCAACCTCAGGGCCTTTGCACTTCCTGACCCCTCCCCCTGGAAGGAATGGCTGGCTCCCTCCTCACTTCAGCATGTCTGCCGAAATGCCACCTCCTGAAAGAAGCCCTCCCTGCTCTGCTCATTTAATGCAGCGCCCACCGTGTAGCCATTACGGCTGCTTTATTCTTCTCCACAGTTCCTAACACTCCACATATTCCCCACTTCTCTGCGTCAGTGACTGTCTTCTTCACAACACCAGGAGCCCCGCGAGGGCAGGGAGTCCAGCTGGGTGCTTCCCTGCTGTGTCCCCAGCCTAGCACAGAGCCTGGTCCCAGACGGGCTCCATAAACATTTGTGGAGTGAATCCCTAACGTTTACTGAGCGCTTCCTATGCGTAACCGCCACTCTAAGCTCTTCGAGTTCTCAGAACATCCCTGAGAAGTAGATATTATTATCCCCATTTTCCAAGATGAGGCAGCGGAGCCCCAGAGAAGTGGATTCCGAAAACCCAGAGAGATCGTTCGGGGCCCACCCCATCCCCCAGCGTGGGGCTCAGAGCATCCTTGGCCCCAGCCCTGCTACTTGCTGGTTGGAGAACTGCAGCAAAGACGCCTCTCTGAGCCTCAGTTACACCATCTGTCTTGCCTCCCAGGACCACTGCCCTCGCGTCTTTGCACGGACCAGAGAGCCCAACCATTAACGCCCCGCCCACCCTCGCCACTCAAATCCCCAGTCCGGACCTCATACTCCTTCCTAGCTCTTATGGCCATTGGTCAGAATGTCTGTTACTTATTTTACTTCTTTTTTAAAACTGATATTTATTTATTTATTTATTTATTTATTTATTTATTTATTTATTTATTTATTTGTTTGTTTGTTTGTTTGTTTGTTTGTTTATAAGATTTTATTTATTTATTTTTAGAGAGAGGGGAAGGGAGGGAGAAAAAGAGGGAGAGAAGCATCAATGAGTGGTTGCCTCTCGCGCGCCCCCTACTGGGGACCTGGCGCACAGCTCAGGCCTGTGCCCTGACTGGGAATCAAAGGGGCTTCCCCTTGGTTGCAGCCTGGCGCTCAACCCACTGAGCCACACCAGCCAGGGCTATTTATTTATTCTTAATATTACTTATTTTTAATTTCCCCCATAGAAGAATGTCAGTTCCCTGAGGAAGAGAGGGCAGGGATTTTGGTCTGTTGTGTTCGCTTTTTTAAAAAAATTCTCATCCGAGGATATGTTTATTGATTTTTAGAGAGAGGAAGGGAGACAGGGAGAGGGAGAGATAGAAATGAGAAACATCCTCATGAGAAAGAAACATGGACACGTTGTCTGCCCTTCACTTCCCAACCGGGGAGCAAACCTGCAACCTTTTGGTGTACAGGATGGCGCTCCAACCAACTGAGTTGGCTCAGTTGGCTCGGCCACTCGGCCGAGTCTGGTTGTGTTCACTCCCGTTGCCCCGACACCTAGAACAGTGCCTGGCACACACCCTGAGTATTTAATTGGCTAAATGCAATGACGTTCATAACTGGGGTGGATACGCGTAAATCAAAGGCCTGGAACTTCGCAGTAACTAACGTCAATACTGCTAGGAGCCAGGGCCCCGCCCCCATGCTGGATGCGGGGGCGGGGCCATCTCCTGCTCCCTAGAAGTCAAGGTCCTGTCTTAAATACACTACTGTTAGTAATCCTCTTCCTGAGACGGGGAAGTTGAGGTGCAAAGAAGCAGAGTCTCTCTTGGCCTGGCTTGCCTGACTGCAGAGCCCTGCTGCTTTCATTTCTACCCTGGGACTACTTAGCCTCAGTTTCCTCGTGTGTCCTCAGGTGAAATTCGGGAGGGTCTGTGAACTTGGCCTGGGGAAAAAAAAATAATATGTGGGCTTGGCACTGAAATTCAGGGGTCCCTTCACTCCTGAGCGTGAGCCACAAGACAGTGACATCAGCAGGACCTGCGTCACTGTCACCGGGAGGAATCGCCGATGTTTTCATCACATTTCAGTTGCTTCAAAGATTTCTAGTAGCCATTTTATCCGTCGCCGGCAGACCCACCACTAACCCCATGTTACGTGTAATTAATAGCGGCCCCTATTAGCATGTCACAGATTTGTGGCTTTCTTACTGAACGGATAACTGTATATCGGCATCATTGCTTCTCTTGTAACCCTGTGGGTTTTATTTTATGCATTTATACACACTATTCTGGGAAGGGGTCAGCCGAGTGAAAAAGCCTCCAGCGGACACTGTCCTGCCTCCTTAAATATTCTTTGAGCCAATAGGTGGCGCTACTGTCTTATCCCGCTGTCTGTCTGATTCAGGACGCTCTCAGATCTACCCTTAGGGTGGTCCCTGATGTCCCTGCAGACGCTGGAGCCTCTTCCCCAAGGCACGAGCTCGAATTTTTTTTTCTAGCTCCTCTTTTCCCCTTCTGTCAGAACTGGATGGAGGAATTCTGGCACATTCTGCAACACGGATGGACCTGGGAGACATGACGCCAAGTGTAATAATAGACCAGTCCTGCAAAAACAAATACCATAGGAGCTCACCCGTGTGAGGTGCTTAGAGGAATCAGGCTCATGGAGACAGAGTGTAGAAGGCGGGTAGCCAGGGCTGGGGCGGGGCAGGGCGGAGGAATGGGCGGTACTGTTTAAAGGGGCAGAGTCTCAGTTTTGCAAGACAAAACGAGTTATGAGGATGGGGGTGGCAATGGTTACACAATGCGAATGTACTTAATGCCACTAAACTGTATGCTTATAAATGGCTCAAAGCATGCCCTGACTGCTGTGGCTCAGTGGGTTGGGTGTCATCCATCAAACTGAAAGGTCGTTGGTTCAATTCCCAGGACACATGCCTAGGTTGTGAGCCAGGTCCCTTGGGGGGGGGGGTATACAAGAGACAACTGATGGATGTTTCTCTCCTTCTTTCTCCCTCCCTTCCCCTCTCTCTAAAAATGATATAAATAAAACTTTTTTTTTAATGGCTAAAATGGTAAATTTTATGTTATGGAGAAGGCAGCCAGTGAGCCTGGAGTTACTGGGTGAACTTTGGACTTCTGTCCCTCTTGGGCTCTAGTCCTGTCCTGGGCCCAGGTTATTACGTGGGCCCTGTGGTGATCTTTCTGGGCCCCTTTTTCAAGATGGCTCGGCTGTGGGAAAGGGGACCTCACAGACACCCACCAAGCTGCTCCCAGGACCCAGGAACAGCATCTAACAAGTCTGGTCCCCAAAGCTCACTTGGCAGGAACTGAGATCTGTGTGGGTCCCCTCCCCAGCCCCTGGGGAGGGGTCTCTGTCACCTGGGAAGCCCCTTGCAGAGGCCTTGCTGTTGCCCACCCTTCTCTGCTTCCTGGACCCTGGATGTGCAGAGGTGAGGATGGTGGGATCTCATCCCCAGCCTGCCACTTTCTGAAGCCCTGGAGGCCTGGGTTTCCTTACCTGCAAGATGGGGCTATGGGTTCCCATGAGGGCCAAGAAAGATACAGCAAAGGGCCTGGAGCCGTGCCCACCGGGAGTGCTCCATAAACCTCAGTCACCGCATTTCTGTGCTCCAGGGGCATGAGGCCAGCCTCCCAGAGATGAGGCCCCAGAGCCCGTGGAAATCACTAGCAAGCTTATTTTGCGTGGCCACGCGGGGTCTTCCCAGAGTGTACAGGGATCCGAAGATGTTAAGAACTCCCCCTCTTGCCCTGGCTGGTGTGGCTCAATGGACTGAGTGCCAGCCTGTGAACCAAAGGATCGCTGGTTTGATTCCCAGTCAAGGTGCATGCCTGGGTTGAGGGCTGGGTCCCCAGTTGGGTTACGAAAGGTAACCCATCTATGTACCTCTCACACATTGATGCTTTTCTCCCTCCCTTCTCATCTCTAAAAATAAAATATTTTCTTAAAAAATGGCAGCTCTCCTTCAGCACTTTATTTTGCACGTAGGGGAAGTTGGCGTCCAGCTACGTGAAGTAGGGTCATCATCTCTAGGAGACCCTGTGTATCGGCCTTCCCACCACAAACACCCCAAGGGGTTGCAGAGAACACGCACATCACGAGTTCTGCAGCCAAGGTCCACCTGGACTACCGCAGGGATCTCGCTGGGCTCTGATCCTGCCCTCGCGTATATTCCCCAGGGGGCCACCAGAGGGCGCCTGGGAACCCTGTCAGCTCACAGCCCCGTGCTCAGAACCCTCCAGTGCCCTGCGCCTCATTCAGAGTTGGGGCAGGCTCGTCACCTGGGCGCCCAAGGTCCTACACGATGAACCTCCTTTGTAGCCTGCAATCTTGCCCCTCATCCCACCACCCTTGTCCCCGGGAGTGGTGCTAAATGCTGGCTCGTGTTCCCAAGCACAGCAAGGCTGTGCTGGGCCTCACGGGTGTATTAGATGAACTTTCAGGTGAGAGTCACAGCACTGTTGGCTGTGAGCTTGTGCCAACCACTCAACAACACAGGTGTATGAATGAGGTGTGGTTGGACAGAGTCACACATAAAACGAGGTGATAGACTGACCACTCGACAAAGATGTGACCAGAAGCTTGAAGTATTCGCTAATGTCACCTTCTAAACCTCAGACCGTTAGCGTGAATAAGAATCATGGAAAGCCCTGGCTAGTGTAGCTCAGTGAATTGAGCTCGGGCCTGCAAACCAAAGAATC